ACCCCAGTTTCGCGCACATTCTAAGCGCGAACCAAACAGGGCAACCTATGCGCCCGCACCCTATTAATTAGGGGTACCCCTTAAAGGGTACCCCTTCTGAACCCTACTTTTGGCTCTCTTCAAAGGGACCTTATTATTGAGAGGGTCTATATCCCCAAGGGTCCCCCGAATCCTAGCTCCCATAAACCCTAGACCCTAAACCCTAAACCTTATTCTAGAGGCCCAGGCTCAGGTGCTGAGGGCAAAGAGTAAGTTGATTCGTGGGAGCTGGAGGCATCGTCAGAGTTGTACAGCAGCTGTGCTCCCCTCTCGAACAACCGGTCAGCACAAGACGGGAACAAGCCGGATTTTGAACCATCGGCCACCCTGAACCCTGAAACTGCAAGTCCGTTGCCGAGTTTTTCGGAAGCGCAGGTGAAGCATGGCCACTAGCTCGCCGGGTGCCCAGCTTTGTTCAGGCAGCGCCGGATGCTGCAGGAAGCGCTGTTGGAGTTGGCCAAGCTACCGATCTGGTGTGAATCTCTGCCTTTCTTTCTTGCAGGGTGCCATCTCATCCTTATTGATATCCTTCTGAAGAGATGCGGTTGATGTAGTGCCCAGTGCAGCGGTGTTGTCATCGCATTCGACCGAGATGGAGGGAGTACGACGTCTCAGGGGTCGTTGGGCATTGTTGAAGCTTGTGTTGCTTTTTGTTGCAGCCTTCAAGTTTACTAGTCCCAAAATCCAGGTCCGATGCCCACTTTGCACACCGCTTTGAGCTCGTAGGATGTACTCGTAGAATGGACACCGGCAGGTCTCAAGACTGTTCTGGTGGGAGACCTCTTGCATCCTCTTGTCGTCATGGGAAGACCTTCACATTTGCCGCGTCGTTGTACACGACTAAACTCCCGGATACCTGTCCGCAGAGACTGCCGAAGTGGCGCTACAAGATGCCAGGTTGAGAAGAGCTTCCGAATACCTGGAGGCATTGCAGTTGCGTCTGGAAAGCATCTGAGCCTGAGCTTGCGGATCCCACGATTATGACGATGATGATGATGATGATGATGGGGAGTGCGATGCCTAAGCTTATGCTGACTATTGCTTCTGTTGACTCTTTTGATACTCCTGGTGGTGACCCTGGTAGTGACGACCGTCCAAGGAAGTCAGGGACGCAGCGACCCAGACGGATGTTGATGCCTATGGCGTAAGGGTGTAGGGGATATATCCCTCTGTCTAAGACTTCAAGAGGCTATGTCTCGCCCACTCTCTGTCTTTGAGTGTTCTTGAGCAGTCTTGCTGGAGATGCGCCCATCCAATGTTATCAAGGCAATTGAAGGCTGAAGGTGCATGTTTGCGGTTTGACGCATGCTCCCTGAGCTCTGACCTCGAAGGGTTTGCGGGCAGCGAATTGGGGCAAGGATGGCTTACACATGTTCGGAGTGGTGGCATGTAGAGACAGGAGATGGATCATGTTTGCTAATTTGGGTAGTGCACCTTGGATATCTGACTCATTGGACTTGTGCTTAAATTGCAAGTTTACATGACTTGTAGGACAGTCCGCGCCGATCTCTCGGTCGATCGTTCTATCGATCTATCGATTACTCGATCTATCGATCTATCTATCGACCTATCTATCGATCTTTCGGTCCATCTGTCTTTCTATCGATCTATCTATCTATCTGTCTAGCTATCTATCTATCTATCTATATCTGTTGATCGGTCTAGCGATTGATCTATAGATCTATTGATCTATCTGTCTACCTGTCTACCTACCTGCGTCTATGTGTGTATGCGTATGTGCGTGTATGTGTGTGTGCATGTTGAGAGAATGCAGTGGGCCCACGGTAACCTCCTCGGGGTACTCCAGGCCACGGAGCAGCACGACAAGACCCTGCAGGCCTCGACACAAGTTTCCGTTTTCCTTTGCTCATCACAGCTCTTCGTGCAGAAAGGTACTGTTAAAGATCAGGGGCATGTCTTCTCAGGCATGGCCTTTAGGATTCTGATTTCATATGAAGGCTCACGGGCATCTACTCGTAGGGTTTTGAGGGCCACCTGCCGCAACATATTATAAACCAAGACACACCGTAGCAACACAGGCCAGTATCCTCGCTGCGGGACACCCAGATTTTGTTTTTGTTTCCAGATTTTGCTCTTGTTTCCGTGGAAGAGGGGTGCTTGGCTTGACAGAGGTTTCAGCCTCACGGTTTGGAGTTCCAAGCCGTTGCACCGAAGGATCGGGAATGTTTGAGGGTATTAGTGAAATGCTTGATTGGTCTTTGGGTCAAGTGGTCGGACTTCTTTTGGTGCATCGGGCGATGACTTAGCAGAGAAATATCTAGGTACATATATATATATATATGTCTGTGTTTGTGCTTATGCATATACAGGTTTGTATATGCCATGTGCTACCCCCCCCATCATGTACCTGCGCGTAGTGTTTGTTTGTTAGTCGTCGTGTCCCCACAAACCTGTTCAATCTCCACTTCCATTCTTTGTCATGCCCAGGCTGCAGTCTGGCGATGCTACAACGAGTGGAAGGAGATGGGATTGTCCTTGCGCATATTTTTGCTGATTGGGTAGTGCATCTGGGATACCTGACTCATTGGACTTGTGCCTAAGCTGCATGACTTGCGTGACTTGTAGGACAATCGGCCGCAATGGGGACAGTTTATGAGACGGATGTGTTATGGCGAAAGTGTTGCCACCAATGATAATGCTATCTTGTCTTTTCTACTGCATTCGTGGACGCTGCTGCTGGGGTAGGGATGAAAACATATTAAAAGCGCCATAGAAACCCAAGAAGGGGTCAACAGAAAATCAACAAGGATTAACAAAAAGTAAAAGAGGATCAACAAAAACACAAGCACCCTAATTACTATGATTTTATACGTACTACTCTTAAACTCATTACTGTGACTATGACTATTAAGATTATTAACATTACTATTGTTGCGATTACAACTACTATTACTATTGTTAGTACTATTGTTGTTATTATTGCTATTCTTCTTCTCCTCAGTATCGTTACTCTTAGTCTTGTTATTATTATTATTATTACTACTGACATTGCTTTTAGTATTGCAATTTCTACTGTTGGTAATGTTTTTTTTGCTGCGGCGACGACGACTACGACTACGACTACACGACGACGACGACGACCACTACTACCACTGCTGCTGCTGCTACTGTTACCATACCACCACTGCGACGACGAGCACCACTACCAATGCCACTACTATGATGACTACGATTGCTACGACGGCCACCACTGCCACAACCACGACCACGACAATGCCGCCACTACGCGACCACTGCCTGCAATCCAGTACCAGTACCAGTACCAGCACCAGTACCACTACGTCTACTGCTTTTTGTGCTAATTTTTGTGAACGTTTTACCAATTGAACCGCAGGTTCTGCTTGTTCTTATCTGTTTGTGGGCGTTGGGCATGGAGGCGGGTTAGGGGGGTTAGTTTCCTTCTGTCTAACGACGTCCAGTCCTAGGAGTAGTAGTAGTAGTAGTAG